CCCCCACCCCAATGTGTGAGTTATAGCCAGGACTTCTTTATGTGTTGTAATTGACAAAATGGTTGGAAAGGGAAAGTGTATAAATGAAAATAGTGCAACATGTAAATTTTTGCATGCAGAATTTCTGTGAGTGCTTTTCTATGGAAGGGTTTCTGATCACGAGAAAATTGTACTGAATAAAGGAAGACTCAAGATGTGTTCTGCGGCCAGCAGACGCCTGTTGATTAGGCAAATTCTTGGTGTGAAGTGCATCTGAGTTGGGCGGGTGGCCTATCCTCCGATCGGCAGGCGTTCAGCTCGGAAGCAGAGAGGAGAGATAGTATCCGTCTGTCTGTCTCGTAGTATCAGTCTGTCTTTCCGTCTGTCCATCTGTCCGTCCGTCCGTCCGTCCGTTCGTCCGTCACTACTCCATGCGCAGCCGCGGGCGGGCGATATACTCCGCGCGTCGCGCCGGGCGTATCCCCGCGTCCCCGCGGCTGGATCGGCCTGCCCTTCGGGCGTGCCCAGCCCGCTGCCCGTCCGGAGCAGCTGCACACATTGTAGCGGTGCCCCGGGCGGGGTCAACAGCACACGATTCCCTGTCCGATAAGAAAGTAGTAGCCCCCGGCCTAGCTCTGTCGGAAGTGAAAATGGTGACGGCGGCCGCGGCCGCGCGGTTTTGTTTGCAGGCGCTTCCCGGCCCCGTCCTGGACGAGCACGCCGTCGAGGTGGGGCGTTTCGTGTACGAGGTCGGCAGCGCCCCGCTGCAGACCTTCAACTTGCCGGTGAGAGAGCGCACCACAGCTCAGCTCAGTACCTCTCTCCCTGTCTCTCCACCGAAAAGTGTGCACATTTTAATTTTCTCCCCCCGTCCAGGTCAAGCTCAACCGGAGTTTCCGGTACGTGGCTCTCGCGATAACCAGCAACCATGGCCATCCGGACTTCACGTGCGTCTACAGGTTCAGAGTTCACGGCTCGCTCGACGCTCAGGGACACGTTCACAAACGGCTCGAACACGAGACCGTTGGAAGAAACTGAAGATAAATTCGTTTAGAGTAGGAGGTGAGAGTGGCTGTTTTTCATTGTTTGTTTTATTTTTCCCTTTTAGACAGGCTTAGGTCTTTGATGGCATTTTTTTAAAACTTACTTACAACTTATTTTAAGGCATTTTATAGACTTATCAAAAGTAAGCAGTCTTTCTTGCTTTCGTGAACACATCGGTAAGCAGAAGGACAAATTAGTTGTACGAAAGGAAGCGGCATGACTAGTTCGTGGCTACGTCCATTTACATTTTAGTGAATCATATTAAAGTAGTAGAAAAAACTTTGTACCATACCTTAAGTTAACATTTTTAAAAACACACCCTAATAGAAAACTATTTGCAGACTTCAAGCGGTTTTAGTCATGCACACACAGTGCCGACGTATAGAAAATAACTAAGAAACAGATGAGCAATACTAGCTCCTGGATAAAAGACTAATAAGATGCCCAACGATACGTACGTTGTCTTGCCTTGTTTTCTTAATTCTGCGGAGAGATGGGAACTGTCGCAAGCATCACACATCATTTCGATGTACCCTAGACTCAACCGCAAATCAAATTCGTCGTATTAGAACAAGAATATAAGTTAGGCGTGAGAAAAGCAGCGTGGTTAGATTCTCAGCCACTGACATCTGAAGACTCGAGAAGACGCGGCCAGGAAAACGATAAACAGTGCTCCAAGAAAGTAATTTCCCGAAACGCTTGGTTCGGCCGTCTTTGAGCTCCTCCCGGCTATAGGGGCAGAAAGAGAGAGCGAGCTTGGCCTCGGCCAGCTTGGACTCGGCACGGCAGTGCCGCCCGGTCGGGGACGATCAGTCGGCGCTGGCGGGCTGGGGCGTGCGCCGCCCGTGCCCGTTGTGGTAGACCCGCAGGGGGGTGTACGACCCGTTCACGTTTTGCCCTGTCAACAGAGACACGCACCATGGAGAGGAGCCGAACAGTGATTTACCCCAAAGCGTGCAGGCGAGCGGATCTACTTCAAGCAGATGAGGCACAGGTCGCCCAGCATCCTGCAGCAGAGGACAAGCGTACCGGCGAGCACGGAGCGGTCGGCGATCAGCGCCCTCGCCCTCTTCTTGGAGCTGCCACCGCCGGAGGCGCCCGGGCGCAGGCAGCAGTGGTACAGCACGAAGTAGAGCACGGCCACGATGGCGGCCGCCCCGGCGCCCGCCGCGTACAGCGGCCGCAGCTGCTGCAGCTCCGGGTCGTCGGGCGGCGCCGTGTCCTGCTCGTCGTCGGGCGGCAGAGCGTCGCGCGCCAGCAGCCCGCCCAGCAGCGCGCCCAGCGACCGGCCCACGCCGAAGTGCGCCGCCACGCACAGCGCCTGGCCCGCGGCCAGCAGCCGCCGCGGCAGCAGCGCCGCGAAGTACAGCACCGCCGTCACCCACATGATGCTCAGCGTGAACACCTCGGTGGCCTCCAGCAGCAGGATCCACCACGGGCTCCACATGAGCGACAGTCCTGCGGAGAGAGAGACCAGAGGGTTAGGGGTCACTTTCACAACGACGGCCTCAGAGGCCCACACCGTACGTAACTCACCCGCGTATCGGATGATGTAGAAGGTGAAGGCGGTGATGAGGAGGTTGGAGGAGCCGCAGTAGCGGATGAGCCCCTCGCCGCGCCACATGAGCGGCACGGCGGGCAGCACGCCCACCAGCACGTTGAGGCCGAGCAGCAGCTCCGGGGTGGCGCCCCACGCGCCCAGCCCCACGTCCACGGCGCCGTCCACGTGCTGCAGGCCGCTCACGTGCCAGGGCAGGTACGAGTCGATGGCCGAGCAGAAGGCGCCGAGCAGCGCCAGCACGAGGAACAGCGCGGCCGCCTCGCAGCCCGAGCGCGTCGGCGTCTTGGAGGCGGGCCGCGCCGACGACCACCACGACGACCCGGCGCCCACCGGCATGGACCTGCAGAGGGCAGGAAGTTCAGTGAGGTGCATAGTATAGATCGCCGGTAGAAGAAGGGTGATGAATGCAACACTTACGGAGAGCAAACGAGCACCAAGGCCGCGAGGATCATGCAGGCGGTGAAGGCCAGGATGGGCACGCCGTACGGCGGCCAGCCCAGGCTCGGCGCGTCCGCCGTCGGGTACGGGCTGAGGTAGCCGGCCAGTGGGGCCGCCAACGCCGTGCCCAGCAGCCCCACGGCCATCTGCCGCCCGAGGTCCGGCTTCTGGTGGCCGGGGCGGGCGCGCGTCGCCACCACCAGGGCCGTGTCCACCAGCACCAGGGCGGCCGTCGGGAAGGCGTCGGCCAGGCAGCGCACGCCCAGGTAGCTCCAGAAGGTGAGCGCCGGGTCGCCCATGAGCACCTGGCACTGGCTCTGCGCCAGTACCGAGCCCTCCGCCGTGTAGGGGTGCTCGATGTCGCACAGCACGCGGCAGCCCGCCGTCAGCGGGTAGGGCAGCGAGCAGGCGAAGGCCTCGGCTGACGGGGAGGTAAAGGAGTCGGTTAGTTAGTTAAGTGCTTCACGGACCGGCCCGGGCCGAGCGGCGCAATAAAAGCCACGGGTGCTTGATGCGCCGTGCGTGATGCTCATCATGGGCGCCATTCCAGGCGCGCCGCGAGCGCCATGACGAGGTCACGCGACGCGACATGAGCTCACCGATGGGGTAGTGGCACCACTGCGACTGGTCCGCGTCCGGGTTGGTGGCCTGCTGCAGGGAGGCGTTGACGATGATGCCGGAGCCGCTGCCCGTGAACACGTGGCACAGCCGGACGCCCGGGCCGCCGCCGTCCGGCACGCAGATGTGCGGCGGCTCGGCGGGCCTGGCCGGCGTCGGCACGACGGTGTAGTCCGGGAGGGCGACGTCCTGGCCGCCGCCGCCACCGCCGGACCTCACGCCGTCCCCGTGGCGCGTCCGGTGGCGCCCCGCGCCCGCCGCGCCCTCGTCCGGGCACTCGTACTCGCAGTGGGTCAGGAATAGCGGGCCAACCTGCCGTAAAAGCAAACACCAAGGCGGCGTAGTGAAGGGCAGGGCAGCAGGGCAGGGCCGCTTCTAACGGCGCTCGGACCAGAGCCGGCGGGCCAGCGGCTGCTGCTTTTTTGTTGGCGTTTGCCTAGCTGGCCGGTCCGGCTCCGGTATACACTCCCCTACCTACCTGTTGCTCTGGCCAGCGGTAGCAGGCGGGCTCCATGCACCGCTCCTGCAGCACTGCCGCGCCGCTCCCGTTGCAGCTGAAGCTGACCGACGGCCTCCTCGCCTGCGGGGAAGCAGAGAGTCGGTTAACCGGGTACTGGCATTGAACCTAAACCAAGTTCCACCGTACCCTGTGCCTTCACCTTACCGGGAACCAGGTGACGGTCGGGAGCAGGAGCAGCGCGCTGTAGCAGACGGCGGCGCCCAGGACGGTGAACACGAGCAGTGACCTCAGCTTCTTGCCCTCGTCGGCGGCCTCGGCGTCCTCGGTGACCGGCGTTGCCTCTTCATCGGCGGGCTGCAGCGGCGCCGCGTCCTCTTCTTCCTCATCCTTCTTTTTCTTCTGCTTCCTGTCCTTCTTCTTCTCGGCCTTCTTGTCGTCGGGACGGCGGCGGCGCCTCTGCAGCAGCGCGGCGGCCACCAGCGGCCCGAGCAGGCCGACGAGCGGCGCGGCGGACGACACGACGCGGGCCTCACGGGCGGTCAGCCCCGCGGCGCGCATGTGCAGCGGCAGGAACGGCACCAGCGCGCCAATGCCTGAAGGAGACCGGGAAGGGACATGGTTTCAATAAGAAAGGCAATACAAAGGCGTGTCTAGATAAGGTTCCAGAAACAGAAGCCCCATTTCCCGCCGTTTCCGCATACTTGATGGCTGATTCGCCCCGCTCACTTTTGTAGTTAATTATACTGTACCGCATGCACTCGTGCGGGCGAGTTGCCTACTCGCTCGGGCTGTTAGTCGCTGAGACGATAATAAGCAAACCCGCCCACACGCGTCCGAGTACTACGAATGAGGGCATGAGCCACCCTGGTACACAATTTTTCTTGATACTGTACGTACTCCTCTATTTTTCCTGCTTTTGATTCGCGATAGCTACGTGTCCCGCTAGTTCACTGACTAGTTATAAAATGTCACAAACGGGCGTCATGTTGTGCGTGCAGACGCGCGCCTGCACGCTCGCGTTCCTCGCTAACTGGAACCCCCTGCAGCGGCCTCCCGCACCAGCCGCCTGGACGGACGCCGCGGCCGTTCCGGGAAAAGTGTTCTCGCCTCGTCTGGTTCTATTCCCGTCAATCAAACACGCAGCCACTCCCACACATGGAACCGGCGGCAGTAGGTCGGCAGCCCTTCATGTGGGGCCTGGCCTGGCCTGGCCTGACCCCGCGCCACGCCCGCGGGCCTCCTCAAGGAGGTCTGTGGTCTGCCAAGCACCGTGCCAAAAAGATTACACGACGCCACCGCCGGTCCTTCTGACGCCTCTATTCTTATACATCTGAGCGATTTGTGAATCATTTTGCTAAAAGCAAGACACTTTGTTCCTACATGCAGGCATGCGTGCTCGCCGGTGGCCTGGACTCGTCGTGCTCGGATGCGCGCGCGGCCACAGCCCATGGTGTCCGCTGACCAGCCGCCGGCACAACTTGCCGGTATAACAGAAAGTGTAGGAGGGGCGGCGGGTGGAGTGAAGCGAGTGGCGGAGGCTGCAGAACTTGGAGCGAGGCGCGCGAAACCAAGACGGGCATGGAGAGAGCAAGGCAGTGCTGGGCAGTGCCTAGTTCCGGAGAGTTCCCGCCATTACTGGGATTTCTTTTCTTTCCCCAAACTGGGACAGCAGCAGCAATGCATACATACACCACATACACGTCTGCTGCAAGTCCTCCCCCTCCTCCTCCTCCTCCCGGCCCACAATTTATCATCGGCAGTACTACAGTGGGTACTTGTTACGGATTTGTTATACCAGTTGGTTAGACCACTAATTCAGACTCAACTTTGTTTTCAATAATTTGACACTCTGCTCAACTCAACTCAACTCTATTTTTGTGATGATGAAAAACAGTGTGAAAATACCGCAGTTCTCGCCCGAGTTTCTCTGACATTGGGCAGAGCCATCAGCCATCCTCACGGACGAGCAGTGCATTTATTTGTGAGGCGGCTGTGAGGTCACCCAGCAGCAGCCCATGCATGACTCACCGGCGAAGAAGAAGAAGAGGAATATCTTGAAGGACGCGAGGCTCGGCGGCCTGGTGGCGCCGCCGGGGCCCGGGGCGGGGCCCTCCTCCAGCCTGTCGTCGACGCCCTTCTTCGCCATGTCGTCGGTCCGCTAGCGAGGTGCGCGGGGGAGGAGGCGCAGGCGTTGCCGGTCGCGACCACAACAGCCGCGCACCGCCGGTCGCGGCGCGCCTCTGCCGTTATCACTTTGGCGGCTCAAGCGCTGCGATGAGGCCCGGGGCACTGCCTGGGTCAAGCAGTTGATTAGGGCCTCCCCGCTGACATCACGACTCGGCCCGCTGACCTGGCCCGAGGCCGGCGTCCGGAGCGACCGTGACGACGACGACGTTGTTCTTCCGCTCGACCGCGGTCGTGGGCGTGGCCGCGGCCTCCGCCGCCGCCACCTCCTCGTCGGCGTCCTGGTCGGCGCAGCCGCGGCGCCTGGCGCGCACGGACGCGCGCACGCGGCGCGCCCAGTGGCGCAGCGGGCGCGTCCACTCGCGCACCCGGTAGCGCGCGGGCCGCGTCCAGAGGGTGGCCCTCCTGCGCGCGGGCTGCGTCACCCGCACCACATGGTCCGCGACGCGCCTCGTGAGCCGCCGCCCGTGCGGGTGGTCGGGCCGCGCCACGCGCCGCGCCAGCTGGCGCAGCCTCCGCGACGCGCGCCTCGACACGTCGCGCACCCCGCCCCCGCGCTCCGCGTGCCCGCCCGTGGTCACGGCCGTGGTGACCGCCGTCGTCGTCCTCGTGGTGGTCGTCAGCGACGGGACCAGCGCCGGCGTCGCCCCAGCAGCCGGCGGGACCAGGCGCGCACCGCGATCGCCCAGCCGTGCAGCGTCCAGCGGGTGCGCAGCGTCAGCCGGGCCAGCCAGTCGCGCGCGCGCTCCTTCCTCGCGGCTCTCTTGGACGGGCGGGAGCCGCTGGGGCTGCTGCTGCTGCTGGGGCTGCCGGGGGCCGCCTGCCCGCGGCGGGCCGTCTTGGAGCGGGGCGTCCTGAAAACAGAAACAAGTCGGAGGCTTATTAAGGAGAGATCGCCTTGAAAGTTAATCCGTTTTTGTTCTAAAGACTGTCTCTACTAGAAGGCAAATTCCCTCTCCCCTTCTCGCCAAATCACAGGGTGGGCACTGGCGTGTGTGGGTTTTGCTTAGATTTGTTCGGCAAATCACGGGAGCTCAGCGCCTGCGAGACTCGGGGTAGGCCACCCCGCCGTACACGCATGCACTGCAGGCGGGATGTTGCCTACCCACCAGGCGCTATGCGAGCTTGCAGAGGTTGAACTTGGCAGGTTCCCGCCTAACAGTAAACAATGGACGTGCTAGCTGGCTGGTCCCTTACATCGGGTCACCCACCCCCCACCCGCCTCCCCTAGCTCCCCTACGGAAATTGAACCAACGCATGTTTCACGGTCATCGGGAGTCCGGCCCGTCCGTCAAGACATGGGTGGCCTGCTCCTGGTCGTGGACCGGTGCGCCGGCTGTTTGTCAGCGCTTGATCTCTTCATCTCAGTCCCCTCCTCTGCTTCCTCCTCCTCTCCTTTCACCTCCTCGCCCTCCAGCTCGCCCGAACAGCGGGGGACCCAGCGCGAGCCGACCCAGTCGATCAGGCCCTGATCAGCCCATCGCCTTTGCGGCCCTGCTCGCCGCCTGACCAGGACCACGAGTTTCCACACCGCGCTCTGAACCTGGCCAGCCTCTCATTTAGATTGGCTCACTGGGTCCACGCAGCGATCTCCGTCGTGGGGGGCGGGGCCGCCTATGGGCCTCTGGGCTGGCCCACAAAGAAAGGCCCTTGACTCACTAACGTTGATACACTAAACATAATACAATGATGCCAAGTGCGACCAAACGAAGCAAAACTTGCTTGGTTACGCAAAATTCGTTAAAAATAGTAAATTATTATGGCTTTAGTGCACCAGAAAAAGAGGTAGGATTTTTCTGGCTATCTGTGTTTCAAAAAGTATCAGTTTTGGCGCGCGCGGCGTGTTTCCGCATCGCACCCACCCGCCCACCCACCCCCAGCGTCTGCACCTCACCTGTTGCGCCGTCAGTTTGGACAAAGGGACCAGGGAAGGCCTGGTCGCGCGGAGCTGTCCTGAACCTTGGCTCTGCCTCGCTCTCCTCCGGGCGGCACGCGCCTGCTGTCCTCCGCCTGTCCGTCAGGCCGTCTGTCCACCGGGCGGTTGCACTAACGGGCGCGGCGTGACGGGCGGGGCGGCGGTCACCGAGGTACTGGACACGACTTGCGGTGGTGGACAGCGGCCGGCAAACACACACGGCGCGCGCGGCAAAACCGCCGCAGAAAGACCGCGCTTGAGTCTAAAAATAGTGGAGGGGCCTGACGAACTCCTTCCATCCATCCTTGTGAACCCCGCCCCGCCCCCGTCTCACTGCACCACCCCCACCGCAGC